GCGTGGCGTGGCGTGGCGTGCCGTGGTGTGGTGTGGTGTGGTGTGGTGTGGTGTGGTGTGGTGTGCTGTGGTGTCGTGTGGTGTGCTGTAGTGTAGCCCGCTGGCGGTCTCTAGATCTCACTGCACTACTGGTCGGGCAGGTTGCTGGATGGGCGGAGCTAAGCTGACTGCCGCTCTCCGAACTATGCGTTCAGAGGGAGACCTGCCCATCCGTGCCGAGTTACGCTCACTGCACAACTGGTCGGGGGAGAACGCTGGATCGTCGTCGTCGTCGTCGTCGCCTGCATCGTCGTCGCCGACGTCGTCGTTGTCATCGTAATCGTCGTCGTCGTCGTCGTCGTCGTCGTGGTCATCGCCGTCATCGTCTGAGGCGTCGCCGTCATTTGAGTCGTCTGACTCGTTCACGTGTGTGAAACGACGACGACCGCCCTCTGTCTTCCCTCCGAACACCTTCTCTCCCTCCTCCTCCTCGGACTCGTCCTCCTCCCGCTCCCCCCACTAGGTGGATGTACAAGGCGGCAGGAGGACATAGGAACAGGGTATATATGCGAGAGCAGGCAGAAATACGCCTGAAAAAACACGACTGTCGGCATGCTTCGCTGGAGTTGCTGTTTGGGGATGGGCTGGTGGGGATACGCGAAGCGTGAAGAATTCTGGCAAACTGGCTGTGCTGCGCATGGGCGAGATACCACAAATTCCGCTGTGTTCTAACCAACCGGCACGTGGATATGTTTCTCAGATTTCGCCTTTTTGACAGTATCGTCACCCCTACTGCGCTATATGGCCTCGCGACAACTCCCTTGACTTCTGCCGACATCAAGAAACTTGATTAAAGCAGAGGCACATGATGAGATGCATGGCTGGATTTGTTAAGCACGACGATGATGAATGGTCTGACGTTTACAGGCGCGTGGGAAACAAAATCGAGCAGACCATGCAGCGCCGACCCATCAGATTATGGGCAGATGAGTTGCGCAAGGTGAAGCACAAACACCTCAAGCTGCTGAGCCCTGGCCAGAATGAGCTGGTGCAGATGATTGCCAAGTGGAGCCCAGGAGACGTGGCTGATTCGAAGCTCCCTGCAAGGCCGAAGCGCTCCAGAGGCAGGCCATGCACAACTTGGGACCACTTCTAATTCACATGTTTTCCACACCGAGTCCAGTATTGGACTGGGCCTAGTGCTCGGTCGGGGATTGCGATTGTGATCTCTCCTCATTGCCCCAAAAATATTCCCCTAAAGGAGGTCCACAACGGCTGGAGGATCTTAGAAACGTCAGGCTGCAATCGTTTCCGGACAGGCGAGAAACGGCGGCAGTTCGCCGTAGGCGTCTGCGACGATTCCACGTTACTCGTTCATTGCTGCTTAGGGTCTTCTGCGCCAGGGTGTAATTTGCTGGGTCGGCGCCATGATCCTCAAAGGCCTCGGAAAAGTACGGAAAAGGACGCCAGCCCCTTCGCATCGTGAAGAAACCACGACGGAATCTGATTGCCCTCGCCAGGCTCAGGGGCTGTCAAGAGAAAGACTCGGTATGACAGCTGGTCCAAGGGAAAGGATCGAGACCTCTGGCGGTTCACGTTCTTAAAGACTCTAAATGTCGGCACCTGGGAAAGAGGGGGAGAAGGGAGGATAGAGGCAGCTCGAAAGTGATCAGCCATTCCTGGGCCTCCTGAGTCATCCGCAACCTCCAGAGAACTCTGGACGCATCTGGAGACCTCCATGAGGGGGGGATGCGACACAGGCTCGAAGGCCACTCAGTTTCAAACCGAACCGATCATTTGGTTGACAAATCCCAAAGCAAGTGATTGACATCCCTTAGAAGTCGAGTTGGGCTGGTAGCTCCCGTCCGCAGCAGGAGTCGCACAGGCTTGAGCCGTCGACAGGACTGGGGAGATGGCGGCAGAGGAGCGGGAGGACTGGCAGAATCAGCAAGAGGACCCTCACGACCGCCACTGCCATCGTCGGCGGCTGCAGCGCGGGGCGGCGGGGGGTCTCCCTCGCCGACCACCGCCCGCCGCCCTGCCGCTTGGCGAAGCTGCTGCCGACGCGCGGTGCCACAAGCAGAGCGCCGGCCGCGGCACGGCCGAGGCCGGCCCGCGCCGCCGCCGCGAAGGCAGGGACATACGTATACACGCATACCACGAGGCGCGGTGGGCAGCAGCACGAGGAGGCCCAGAGCAAAGGACGGGAGGCGCCGCCCGCAGAGCACGTGTCCAGGGGCGGCGACGCTCCTCCGTGTCTTCGGCGAGGCTCCCAGAGGGATTCGTGTAATGCCCGCCCCTGGGCTACTCGCCTCAATCGTGGCCTCTGCCTGACCAGCCGAAGGCGCCTGACGTTCCAGCGGAGGAGGGGAGCGCGCTGGTGGAAACGGCCGCTTCAGAGAGCAGCCGCGCAGGGTCGACGACGCCGCGCGCGGCGCCGCATGCGCCAGAGGCTGGTGCGAATGCCGCGCCCGCGAACACGAGGGAGCAGAGCTTCTTGATTGTTCGCTCTGTCCTGCATGCGTCAGGCTTTGTCTTCCCCGTTGCTGATGTATGGGCTGTAAGACAGGAGGGGATGGGGGGGGAGGGAGGAGGAAGAACAGAAAGGGGACGGGGAAGGAGCAAGAGAAAGAGGGGGTGGAGGAGGTGGAGGAGGGGGACGACCACGACGACGACGAACGGACGGACGGACGGACAGACGGGTTTACGGACGGACGGACGGACGGACGACGACGACGACGACGACAACGACGACGCCGAAGAAGAAGGAGAAGAAGAAGAAGGCGCAGACGACGACGCAGCCCTGACCCGACGCGAGGGCCTCGACCACCGCCGCGGAGAGCAGCTCGCCATCTCTATCGGCCACGGCCTGCTCGCCGGCCCGCAGGCACGCCAGCGCCCCCGCGTGCCGTTCCTCCAGCTGCCGCATCGGCCCCCACTCGTCGACCGCCCAGGGCCTGACGTCTTCCAAGAGCGCTCTCGCCTCCGCCACCCTGTGCGGCCTGAGGGGGGAGGGGGAAAAGCATGTACAGACACCGTGACTCTCCTGGACCTCTCCCAGGATGCGTTTTGACTGGGAACCCACCAGCCCTCTGGGCGGTGGTTTACCGGGTTTTTCTTTTTCACTCCCTAGCTAGGTTCTGCCTAGAAGGGTTCTTACTCTCTGGGCTTAAAGGGCCGGGCTGTGTAAATCGCCCCGGGCGGTTCCCCCAGTATCCGCCCCGCGGTTCCCCCAGCTACGTCCCCTTAGCTTAGCGTTGCTTATCTCATATTAGCTTAGCTTATTTCATACTAGCTTGGCCTAGCTTCATCTTAGTTCAGGTTTAACTTAGCTTACCTTCATATTAGCTCTGCTGAGCTTTAGTATAGCAGAGCACAGCATAGCATAAACAGCGAAGAATCGCATAGCGCAGCATAGCATGTCATAGCATAACCAAGCATAGCAAAGCATAGCGCAGCATAGCATAGCATAGCATAGCATAGCGCAGCACAGCACAGCACAGCACAGCGCAGCATAGCATAGCATAGCACAGCACAGCAGAGCAGAGCATAGCATAGCATAGCGCAGCTCGGCACATCATAATATAGCATAGCTTAGCATAGCACAGCGCAGCATGGCATAGCATAGCTTAGCAAAGCATAGCAAAGCATAGCATAGCGCAGCATAGCATAGCATACCATAGCATAGCATAGCATAGCACAGCACAGCATGGCATAGCATAGCATAGCATAGCAACTAATGCTGCTTTCCTAGGGGTTCCAATTCCTAGGTAGGGTCGCGCAGGGGTAATTCCCCCCCTCCTTCTGGGAGGGCTCAGCACTGTCCACTGCCGGATGTGCCGGCAAATTGCTTGCTGTGTGCAACGCGAATGCCCCCCCCAACATCCGCGTCAAAAAATAATTATCATGACGAAAGACCCAACCATATGCAGCTGCGAGTACCGCATTGTGGGCACCGCTCCCGGTGGAACCTCCCTATGGGGCCACGAACCGTGTGAGGGGGTTTACCGAATTAGGTGCGGTGGTGCCATGCGAACCCTGCCACTGGATCCTTCGGTTGAACTCTCTATAGGCCCCCGCTGGAGGTTGCACGGCAGGCCCCCCAGCGCCGCGGACAGTCGGCGGAACCGGCCTCTTGAGCACCACGTTCGCGATCTTGGCCTCACGTTTGCAACCCAGACCATGTCCACCGGCCCTGACCCTTCTTCAAACAAGGGTTTTTCTTCAACCTACCCCTTTGCAAGGGTAGGCGACAATATCTTCTGTCGCCTTGTCTTGACCATCTGTTTGCGCGTCAGCAACGCGGGTATCTGCCGCATCAGAACTGCAGGCCGAGTCGGAGCAGCACGAGTCAGAATCTGGGTCGGACCCAGAAGGAGCGGCCTCAGCGGGGCCCACTGCATTGGCAAGGACCACGCGACCAGCCCCTCCATCACCATCTGGATGGGCAGCACCTTCATGTGAATAGGAAGCGGGCTGCCCCGCGTGATTTCTCGACTGTACACTTCAAGAAGGCGATTCGGAGCGAGGTGCTGCCAGATTCGATCGATCCGATTGACATCTCTCTCAGCAATCGGCTGGATGTCAGCTCCAGTCAAACATTCTGCAGGCGAATGATTGGTCGGATCCACGCTGCGACCCAGACCATCACCACGGGGCCAGACCCTTGGGGCCCCCCCGAAGTTAGGGCTCCTCGATGGACGCCCCATCGGACACATTGGTCTGTGGTCGGCAAAATACTCGCAAAGACGGACGAAACCCTGGCACCCCGTCCGGTCAGTGATGACGGCCCTCTAATGGTCCGGTTTTTGAAGGTTCTCTGGTGTCTCGGCGCCCCTGCCTCCGTTGGCGCGGACGATCTTGCCTTCGTCATTCCGCTCAACATTTCGAAATGAATACCAGTGACGAATGTCGTGCTCGGCCCAGCGTCGGTCGAGCCAACGTCGCATCGTGCTGGGGGGTATACACTGGCGAGCTAGCCCATGATCGCGATGACTGACAAGGCGCTGCACGCCTCCTGC